GGGGGGGGGGGGGGGGGGGGGGGGGGGGGGGGGACGATGCACCAATTTTTTTTATGTACAATCTGTCACAACTTCCAACTTACCACCTACTCACACCCCCGCACACGTACACACACTGAAGCAGGACAGACACACACGAGTACCACGACCATGTGAGCGTGCACGTCATGCCATTACTGCTGCAGTGAGCACTGACTAGTCATCCAGAGGCGGGGGGGGGAGGGGCGGGGGGGGGCGGCTTTTCAGGTTAAGGAAGTCATGACATGCCCCTCCAGCAGGCCCATAAATCAACCACCTCTACCTCAACAGGGACACACACACACACACAGAGTTGGGTTAATGTCTGTGACACTTCTTGCTCCAGGCTCGGTGCACCACACCTTGGCTCCGTGTGGTCAAACGTTTGTGTGACTAAGGTGTGAATGGGTTATAATTAAGAAACGATCATCTTTGTTTTCCCAGCACGTGAACACGTCCAGTGTCTCTTCTCTTCACGGAGACAAAGCTGTGCAGTTTAACGACGTGCCATCTGTTCTCACCACGACTGGGCGACGCGTTTCACTGTTGCATCTGTGGGGTTTATGTTCCACTACTGCAGAACATCAGATGAAGGGGTGAGGGCTGTATATGAGTGTGTTCTCTCCCCTACTGTCACATCACAGTACTACAGTGGACACATCCTACAGTAAACACATCCTACAGTGAACACATCCTCCAGTGGACACATCCTACAGCGGACACATCCTACAATAAACACACCCTACAGTGGACACATCCTACAATAAACACATCCTACAGTGGACACGTCCTACAGTGGACACATCCTACGGTGGACACATCCTACAGGGGACACATCCTACAATGAACCCATCCTACAGTGGACACATCCTACAATAAACACATCCTACAATGAACACATCCTACAGTGAACACATCCTACAATAAACACACCCTACAGTGGACACATCCTACAATAAACACACCCTACAGTGGACACATCCTACAATGAACACATCCTACAGTGAACACATCCTACAGTGAACACATCCTCCAGTGGACACATCCTACAGAGGACACATCCTACAATAAACACACCCTACAGTGGACACATCCTACAATAAACACATCCTACAATGAACACATCCTACAATGAACACATCCTACAGTGAACACATCCTACAGTGGACACGTCCTACAGTGGACACATCCTACGGTGGACACATCCTACAGGGGACACATCCTACAATGAACCCATCCTACAGTGGACACATCCGACAATAAACACATCCTACAATAAACACATCCTACAGTGAACACATCCTCCAGTGGACCCATCCTACAGTGGACCCATCCTCCAGGGGACACATCCTACAATGAACACATCCTACAGTGGACACGTCCTACAGTGGACACATCCTACGGTGGACACATCCTACAGGGGACCCATCCTACAATGGACACATCCTACAATGAACCCATCCTACAGTGGACACATCCGACAATAAACACATCCTACAGTGAACACATCCTACACTAAACACATCCTACAGTGAACACATCCTACACTAAACACATCCTACAGTGAACACATCCTCCAGTGGACCCATCCTACAGTGGACCCATCCTCCAGGGGACACATCCTACAATAAACACACCCTACAGTGGACACATCCTACGGTGGACACATCCTACAGGGGACCCATCCTACAATGAACCCATCCTACAGTGGACACATCCGACAATAAACACATCCTACAATGAACACATCCTACAGTGGACACGTCCTACAGTGGACACATCCTACACTGAACACATCCTACAATGAACACATCCTACAATGAACACATCCTACAGTGACCACATCCTACAATAAACACACCCTACAGTGGACACATCCTACACTGAACACATCCTACAATGAACACATCCTACAATGAACACATCCTACAGTGGACACGTCCTACAGTGGACACATCCTACATTGGACACATCCTACAATAAACACATCCTACAATAAACACATCCTACAATGAACACATCCTACAGTGACCACATCCTACAATAAACACATCCTACAGTGAACACATCCTCCAGTGGACCCATCCTACAGTGGACACATCCGACAATAAACACATCCTACAATGAACACATCCTACAGTGACCACATCCTACAATGAACACATCCTACAATGAACACATCCTACAATGAACACATCCTACAATGAACACATCCTACAATGAACACATCCTACAATGAACACATCCTACAGTGACCACATCCTACAATAAACACATCCTACAGTGGACACTTCCTACAATGAACACATCCTACAGTGACCACATCCTACAATGAACACATCCTACAGTGGACACGTCCTACAGTGGACACATCCTCCTACAGCAGGACTTCTCAGTCATCAACCCTTTAACTGTCACCATTTACTGCATCATAAAATGTCAAATACAAGGAGTGAGGAAGTCCATTCTAATCAGCACAGCACACTGACCTCACAGTTGACATGTTTTATGATGTCACATACACACACACACACACACACACACACACACACGGTCGTTGTCAACTCTATGTCAAATGAAAACCAAGTTGAAGTAACAGCTGGATCATGTCATTATTTTATCAGTGAATTGGCTGATGTTTCCATAGGCTCAGAATATGACCTTCAGACTCAGGGTGGGTGGTGTCAGGAGGTCAGGAGGTCAGGAGGTCACAGAACAGTTAGCTAAAGGGCAACGACAGCTGTGGACTTTAGAGGTAATACGGTAAAACGGAGTCACTGCATCATGAATACAAACCTGCTTCACTGCTGATCTGAAACACACACACACACACACACACATATATATGTGTGTGTGTGTTATTTGTCCTAAACTTCCCTTTCTGAGATGAACAGACAGACAGTAGACACTGAAGTAGATTTATAAGTCTTATCAGTTTAATAAAACCTGTAGTACCAGTATCTACCACTGTACTGACGGTTAATGAAAGGGCCAAACCAAAATTATCACTTGCTTCAACTGTTGGATGTAAAAAGGAGGTTTATAATATATTTGTGAACCAACCTACAAAATACAAATAATAAAAGTCACATCATCAAATAATGAATACGAATGAAAACGACCAGCAGTCGTCTCTGCTCACTGTGGCTGAATATGTATCTGTCTTCAAATGCTGCTGAACAACTATTATTAAAATGTTTCTAACCAACCAACAGCTCGACATGATCTGATTATAAAAGAAAACTGACCAGAAACAACAGAAAAATAAAGTTGTCGGATCAAATCCAAAGATCAGCTGCAGCCAACGCTGGTTTGTCAATAAAACATCGCATCACATCCAAGAACCGAGGAAATCTAGGAAGGAGCTCAGATTTAAGTGGTTTCTTCCACTCCAGAGAAGAGATTTTGTTCCTGGTGGAAGCTGTAACCTGGGGTCAGAGGTCAAACCTGTATCACGGCTGAACAAGTGTGAGCATGTGCGTTCCTGCTCCGTCCTACGACGGCTCAGACGTCAGACTCCGTCCGTGCTGGAATGTTCTGTCAGTGAGATGGAGTTTTCACAGACGGTGCAGAGGAGGAAACAGCTGCAGCTCTGTTTCTCTGCACATTCTTTCTTCTTCGTCACTGCTCTGCTCCTTTAACCACAGAATAACTGTGTACTTTGACAAAGCTGTGTTGGGAATGTGGTACGGCTGAATTCTTATGTCAGTTCACGGCTACTGTTTAACGAAAATAGAAAAAAAAAAAAAAAAAGGAAACCTCAGTGAGAGGTTGTTTTAGTCGGCACACAGTTAGGATAGATACTTTTACTGATCCTAAATCTGACTGCAGCGCCACCTGCACACTCAGGTGTGTTTTTGAATTACTTATAGATGGAGTTACTTTCTGAGGAAACAGTTGCTGCTTCTTCAAATGTTTTGACAACTTTCATGAAGGACCTCCCATTTCTGCTCGGCTGCACCTGTCATGTAAATTAACATGCAGCTCCTGGGGCCTCTTCATTAACTCCAAACTTGGAACCATATGGTCAAAGTCACACTGCATACGGATTCACACACCACTACGCCGTTCAAATCCCTCGCAGTTACACAAAGAGCAAAAGGAGAAAACCGCAGAGGTGGAGGAGAGAATCCACTCACCTGCCATCATCTTCTGGGCCTCGTAAGGCTCCATGTAGCCGTCGTTCTCGGTTGTGACTTTTTCTGTGGTGGTCTGAGCGCCACCTGCCTGCTCAGCATCAAAAGGATCTGCATAGTCTTCAAGGATTATGAGCTGTTGGAGACAAAGAGGTGAGGTGTTAAAATATAAACTTGATTGTTCATCAATCATGTGTCTCTAGAGCTGCTTATTTTTAAAACGTCGATCTCGAGGAGACATAAGTGAATTAATCTCAAAAACACTGCTATGCTATGATGCTTTAGCCGTCAGTTTCAAAGCAGGATGCTACTGGTCTTCCAACAACTTCAGCCCAGGTACATCATTGCTGTAGAACACAACATCCAAGCTTTCCCATACAAACAACACCACACATGTATCCAAAGCCGGCCGTGATCCACAGCTAATTATAAACTCGCTTCAGACGGTAATTAGTTGAATGTTCTGAGACCAAGAAAGAGGACGGCCTGAAACCTTTGGACAGACCAGCAGCAGCTCACCGCTATTGTGCCTGGGGGCAACATTTGTTCTGTGGAATTGTTTGCTTCAGCTGATTGGACACCAACGCAAAAGTAAAGTTTGTAAAGTAATAAGGTCCCATCTGTCCTTTTGGAAATCAAACTAATGAGGAGGTGAGAGAGTGAGGAGGTGAGAGAGTGAGGAGGTGAGAGAGTGAGGAACTGAAGCAGCTGTTGGAAGATAAGTTCTATTTTCTTTAAACGGTCTGTTGTCGCCAAACATTTTTGGATTGTTTATTTAAGGATTGAAACCAGCCAATAAAAGCGTTTTTTAATAAGTTACTATGTAAACACGGTCGGCGGTTCACCCTATGACTCACTGGTTCAGGAAAGGATACGGTCACATCAACATCAGACACATCACTCATTTGGTGGATGGAGCCCAGAGCAGCAGCCTGGAGGTGGACCAAGCCTCATGCCCGCCCTACTCTGCACCCGTGTCACCACCCTCCCACTGTCCGACTTCACCACAGTGGGAACAGACTTCCCAGAAGTCAGTTGTGTGTGAAGGCCACCCCTGAGAGTGAAACATACACACACCTGCGACGCCTTCGGGACAGAAGATGATGCTTCAAATAATGCTGCTGTAGGTCAGGGTCAGGGTCAGGGTCAGGGTCAGGGTTAACCAGAGTCAAGTGTCAAATCATGGAATTATAATTGTATCAAGTCAGCAGCTACTGTGTGTGTTCTCTCACCTCACAGAACCTTCGTTTAACCACAACATAATTACAGCTTCTTTAATTGTTATTTATTTCTCTGTAAACTCAATCAGAAGGATATTTCAATCCAGAACTCTGTCCTGTCTTGTTTTTGTGCCACGCTCAATCTTGACTTTCTGTGATCTACAGCACAGACCAAGACACACAGATTTCTGTTATTTCACACCTTATTGTAGTAATTATACTGTTGGTGCCAAACACAACCAGGTTTCATTACTAAGAAAACAGAAGAGTGAGTAAGCTCCACTTAAATAAACAACACATGAATCACTGAGAAATGAAGGTCAGTGACTGTAGTTCAGAAGAACAAACATGTGACTAAAGAAATGTGTTTGTTGGTGTTTGTTTTATGCACCGCTTCATTTCTACTGTGAGTGAGATTTTAATATATTTCTGGAAATTACTACATCAAACACAACCATAAACTAAAAAATGTTTGGATGTTTTAGGAAATAAAGTTAGATGTGGAGCCGCTCCTAATTTATGACATCATTATTTTTCCTGTTGACATCATGAGGACATGAGAAGGAATAGTGTTTGAATGAAGACATTCTGTGTGAGATTTATCACAGGGTCAAACCAAAATTACAACTGAAGAATAATCTGTCAAACCCAGAGAGCAACATCCAGTTTAAAGAACAAATCCGCGTTTTTTGTTTTTTTTTTCTGTGACCGCATGTACATTTTCCTGTGTTTTTTTGTCAAACCACTTACACTAGAACATTTACATTTTTCCAGCATTTTTATATTTAGCTCAGGGTGAGTTCACCTGACTCAGCCAACTGTTTAATAATCATTGAATAAAAACAAAACTAACCCCTGTCTTTCAAATCTACAGCTTTGAATCTTTTTTTTTTCTGGTTCTGGTTCTCTAATCTGGTTCCTGATGATAATTGTTAACCCCACCCAGTGTTACATTCATAACATTACTTACCAATGTTATCTAAAGCAGCCGACTCGGATCTTTTCCTGACTGTGGGGATCCGAACCCTCAACCCTTGATTAACAGACCACTTCTAAAAGAGCTCAGCCCCCGGAAGCAGAAATTGTTACAATGTGTCCCACTGCACTAACCACCGTTCACTCCACAGCAGAAGGAGCATGAGGTCGCACGTAGAGGGCGTCAGAGAGTGTTGGCGTCGCCTGGGGACCGGCCATCTGCCTCTGGGCATGCCAGGGTGTGTCAGGACCGCAGCCAACCAACATTTGTCATGGAAGTAAAATCCTCCCTCAGCGTTGAGGACGGGTTTCTGAGTACCTCAATATATCAGGTACTGCAGTAAACTACGGTGTAAACTACGATGTAAACTGTGATGTAAACTGTGATGTAAACTGTGATGTAAACTGTGATGTAAACTGTGATGTAAACTGTGATGTAAACTGTGATGTAAACTGTGATGTAAACTGTGATGTAAACTGTGATGTAAACTGTGATGTAAACTGTGATGTAAACTACGATGTAAACTGTGATGTAAACT